CTAGAAAGTCCAAGATCATAAGCCATTTTGTTCGGGACTAGTTATGGATAGCCTCGGAAGGCTACGCAGGACATCTGCTTTAAGACGATGCTGCCTAAATGTTGTCGTTTTTGCTTAAATAGATGGGCTGCCTCCAGATAGAAGTCAGAATGATTTTAAAGGCGTCTTCTTGTCATCTTTTCTCTAATGCAGCGTTCAGCTATGAGGTATGTTCTAGTCTTTAGCAATGGGCAAGTATCAGTCAGACTCACAAATTATCGTACAATCGAACGATATCAGAAGAAATTAATTAGCCTTCGGAATAAAACTATAGTCTGAAGACCAACTAGATGTCAGTGGATCATACCAGGCTCTGGCCCTTTTGTGCAGCTGGTGCTTTAACCTCTCGCGCAGCGTCGGAGCTCTTTTAAAATCTCCGGTTGCGCATCTTTTTAAAGAAGAGTGCTTTTCTTGCCTAGAGTTTCCTTACTTGTCTAGCAGATTTGCCTGAAAGCGTTGAACTTTTGTTTGTTTTTAACCTGCGGGCCAGTTTATTCCATGACTACTCCCACTGCAAGCTTCTGATGAACACTACTCTGGCAAGCATATGTGAGCAGACTTTTGTAAGTGTCAGGTTAAGGAGTAACGTCCTGAGTCCTTCTAAGGACTTCTTGCCTTTCAATTCTCACGTTTCAGGTCACCTGCAACTGGATACTTTGTGTACACTCACATGGTATCATGTAACAGTAGAGTCATACCTACGAGGTGATGTAAGTTGCATATGAGTGTCTCACACTCGGCTGCATTCGGTTCTGGTCGTTACCAGGTACAATCTGCTTGACCATTTGTGGCGAGCAAAAGAAAAACGTTTTTTTTTAAATTTCGGTGCACTTTTTATGCTTAGATGGAAATGCTGAATTTGAAAAAATCGAATGCAATTATAGGATGGTGGCCGATAAAATACCTGATTGGCTTCGTACTACCCATAGTCACATGGACAGTAAGGCTGTCAGCAGAAGTGTTCATCGGCACGATTAATTCATTGAAATGAACAAATATCGAAAATCGGTGGGCATTCTTTTGAAAAATTATTGAAGCGTCTCTTTGACCAAGTTATGTAATGTTTATTTTGTGATAATAGATAATAATTTTAGCATCTAGAAGAGTTCTGCTCGATAGTGTTTTGCGTTTTTATCTCAAAGGTCTCCGGACGCTGGAAGTGAGCAGGGCGAAGACATCCAGGTCAGTCAGGTGCGAGCAGACATTAGTCATCTGCAAAAGAAATTAGTGGACCTGTCGCACGCCCAGAAGAAACGTGCTGCCGTTTTGGACCGAGCCGTGCGTCTCGTCAACCAGATGTCGCGAATAGTAAGTGGGCGAGCGGCAAGCTTTAACACCACGCTCGCGGAGCACTTGTTTTTTAAGTGATCAGTGGGGCATTTCTAGGACTGCTCGTAGATATGATGGCCCACATTTTGTTTTCAGGAGTGTAAACATGAACTTCCACGTGCATCTCCTTTGTTCTATAATTGAGAC